TTTCAGGAGCTTTTCACCAGGGAGCCCGGTCTGAGCTCTGCTCAGTTCGACGCCTATTTAGCTGACTTTCCCTGCCTCTCGGCAGCTGAAGTGGCTAGGTGCGAGGGTCCCATAACAGGGTCGGAAATCTGGGAAGCGCTGAAGCAGGTTGGCCTGGATAAGTCTCCGGGATTAGATGGTCTTCCCTACGAAGTTTACTTGAGGTTGTCGCACGTTTTTGTTCCTTTGCTGGAACTGATGTACAACCACTGGATGAGGCAGGGGTCTTTACCTCAACGCTTCACCAGGGGTGTCATCAAGTTGCTGCGTAAGGACAAGGACGGTGGGGATGGGTTAGGGAACTTTCGCCCTTTAACGATGTTAAACACTGACTTAAAGATTTTGGCGAAGATCTTAGCCAACCGTTTGCAGCTTGTCCTGTCTAGTCTGATTGGCCCTGAACAGACTTGTGCTGTGAAGGGCAGGACTATTCAGGATAACCTTCATATGGTACGCTTGATCTTAGAACAAGTCGACAGTGAAGCCGCGCTGATCAATTTAGATCAGTCCAAGGCCTTCGATAGGGTTGACCATCGATTTCTGGAGGCTGTCCTTTCGGCGGCCGGTTTCGGAGCCGACTTTCGCTCCTGGATCCGACTCTTGTATGCGACCCCGGTGCGCTGGTGGAAGTGAATGGGGTAAGATCGAAGCCTTTCGTATTGTCTCGCTCCATTCGTCAAGGTTGTCCGCTATCGCCTCTGCTTTACGTTCTTGCGTTGGAACCTTTCCTTCGCAAGTTAAAGGCGAATCCGGTCCTACGCGGTATTTCGCTGCCTGGTGCTTCCACCTCGGCCAGGTATTCTGCCTATGCTGACGACGTTTCGGTTCTTGTGTCGAGCAGAGCCGAGATTAACGAAGTCAGTAAGCAGATCAGTGGGTATGAGATGGTGACAGGGGCCAAAATCAACCGCGATAAGTCTGTGGGCTTGCGGTTGGGTGCGTGGAAGGAGTTTCTCTTCCCGGACCTTTCCTCTGGACGGATGGGCCGATCAAGATACTCGGCGTCTGGTTCGGTCCTGATCTCCAGTTGGAAAAGAATTGGTCGGAGGTACAAGGGCGGGCCGAGGCCGCGGCTAATCTGTGGTCTCGGAGGAGACTTTCCCTGAAGGGAAGGGCGGAAGTTTGTGGTTCACACATCTATCCGATCCTCCTCTACCGTCTTTCTGTGCTTCCACTCCCGTATGCCCGACTAATATCATTAGTCAAGGCCTTGTTCTCTTTCTTGTGGAGAGGCAAGGCCCATATGGTATCTCGCGAGATCTGTTGCCTTCATCCCTCTGAGGGCGGTCTGGGGATGCCTAGCATTGAGATTCGTCAATATATGCTACGCATTACCTTTCTAGACCGAATGTGTCGCGGTTTGGATGAGGTGGGCACCTTTTGGAAAGAAGATGTCCGTAAACATTTCCCATCCCTGAGAAGTGTGCACTCGTGCGAGGAGGAGGCCGGTCGTACTCCTCGTGGCGAGTGCTCCTTCTACCGAATGTCGTCGTGCTTTGAAACTCCTCTTGCGGACGTCGGATGGCCTCTCCGACGCCCAAGCGTTGTCTCGTAAGGCATTATATCGAGTGTTAGTTAGGGGGTCCGTTCAAGATGGTCTGATCGACGAGCTCGGTCTTACGAAGCAGGAGGCTCGCTCGATATGGCCTTGGGCGCCTGGGTTGAAATGTCTCAATAACGATGAGGCATCACTCACCTGGCTGATGATTCGTGGGGCCCTCTGGGTCGGCAAAAGACTTTGTTCAGCAGGCTTGGAGAAATATCCAAACTGTCGTCGCTGTACTGGGAATGTCGAGACCGTTGGTCACGCCTTTTTTCAGTGCAAGGCGGTAGTGCCGTTGTGCAAGTTTGTTGAAGGCCTCATGGTTCGCATGCTGCAGGGAAAGTTTTTTTGTCCTGGAAGCCAGTTCTGTTTGTAGCAATGTGGTATCGCAATTGACGAAGGCTGAACACTATGTGTTCTGTTGCTTACTAGGGGTTATGCGAGTCGTGATTTGGACGACGCGACAGAAGGGATTCTATGAAGGCGAGAAGTTCACCTTCTTCCCAACTGATCTTGTACTTTAAGGCATCAGCTTAAAGTCAAGATTAGGACGGAAAGGCGGCGGCTCCCATCATCAGAATTCGGCAAAAGGTGGGTGAATCTTGCGCGAATGTGTAGAGTGAAAGGGGCTGACCTAGAGTGGCATTTAGGTTGGGCATTAGAAATTGTCCTAACAGGGTTGAACATAGGCAACCCACCCAGATATTAGGCTAGACTAGGTTTTCGTTTTTGAAGTTTTAGTTTCTTTTTTTTTTTTTCCCGGTTAACTTAGCTAGGGCATGTAAGCTCATTGGTCCCTTTTATTTCTGTCCTTATTTTTTTTACTTTTGTTTAACTCCCCATCCCCTCCCTTGTTAGGTGGTTAGTGATGTCAGTTTTCTGGTGGATGCGGGGCGCCTTTCGTTTCGTGTGTGTGTTTTCGTATTTGTTGTTGTGTATGAATGAGTGTGTGTTTGTGTGAATGCTTGATGGTTTGAATGTGTACTCATTTTCTTAGTCTCGCATCGATTTCGTCCGGTTAACTGATATTTCTGCCACATTCATAGTTTGTGGGGGGTTTTATTACTAACTCAATTTTGTTCAGTTTATTGTATATATTTAATTCATTTTGTAAATATTCATTTGGGGATTTTAAAAAAAAATTATTTTTATGACCCTCCCCCATGAACAATATTTGTATATAGGGGACTAGTTAGGACATCATAGAGAAACTGAGGTATTATGGTGGACGTAGTAAGAAAGGTAGGAGTGAATGTGATGTTTTGGTGATTGGATTATTGTTGGCATGTTTGGGTCAGTGTCAGTGACTAGCTAAGTTTTAGATTAAGACAGAAGAAGACCGTCATTCCCCATCCCCCTCTTTGGCCATGTGCCACATTTTGTATTTTAAATGCAAATAAATATTAGTTCTTCTAGTGACGTTCACGTTCAAGAACAGTCTGTTAGTGTGATTTTGAGACAGAACGACTCAAGGTTGAAATACCAGCTGGGAGAGCTTGAATTTACTCGCTGGTTGCTGTTTTCTTTATTCGCCTCATTGGAAAAAGATAAATTTAATAGCAAACGCTGAACAATTTACACTACCAACGCATTTTCCAGAGCGTGCTCCATTAAACTAGAAAATAAGACAGCACCCTGATGACAGTACAAGTACATTTCGCATCTCAACTACACTTCTGACACTTTTTCTTTTCGGCTCACCAGGACAGATATAACTACACGAACTTTACATATGGGCAGAAAAAAATTCTACCCATCTGGGGAAGGGAGAGTTTTGTCGGGTTACCACCTCCTAATTTTCGAAACCGCTACTACGGAACATTTTCTGGATTACAAATACTTCTCTTCTCACCTTATCCGTCAACATGTAACCTATCGCGGAGAACGCGTTCCTTTTGGAAAACGCATGAACAATACATACAGACACGTACGTAAGCACATTCACTCAATACACCTACTTTGGACCATTAGGTTTTCACATTTATTTGACACACACATCTTTGTCTTTGTCACTTGTAACCCTTTATTTTCAATACATTATCATTTGTCGTTTCTTTACATTTCTTTACATGGACTCACATCCTGAGTCTGCCATGTTTGTTGTGGGTATTTCAGGAGACAGCGTGTTATTCCCAATTTCAAACACTGACGTTACTAACGCCCGAAATAAGTTGGAAATCGCGTACAATCGTCCGCAACATCTGTAAGGAATTCAACGAATGATCCTTTCATCCAAGGAGAACTATTGGATGTGAATCCAACATATGAACGTCCTTACGAGATCATCCTTCTTATCTTACCCTTGAAAGAGAAGAGAACCGAACAGAGGAAGAACGAACCCCCTTCACAATGGCCTGCACTGTTGGAGAATGAATGCTGATGGAAAAAATGTAATAATAGTAATAGTAAACTAAACACAGTAGTATATTGAATTGAGATGTTATTCTTTTTATTTAATTATGTATAAATTTGTTTTTCTGGGTGTGTATTAAATTGTTACATGGCATGATACATAAAGGTATAAAGTATAGTAATTATTTGTTTGTAATGTGTACTTTTTTTTTCTTTTTTTTTTTAAACTTACTTGAATGTATCAGTCCCAAATCCTTTTGTGGGTCAAACTGCGTAACCGACAATGAGATTTAGAGACTGGTTTTTCTTGGTTTTGTAGTCAAACTTTTATTGGAATCAAAAGTCCTACTGGCTTGCCTAATGTTCAAGATTTATTACATAAAAATACAATTGTGGCACAAGGCCTGAAAGGGGTAATGGGTTGAGGCTGGTTGTCACTATCTTATACCTAGTTAATCCGATTCACCACCCATTCACTCGTTACAATTTGCACATCCACCATCAGAACTCATCCATCATCATTCAATCCCCCATATACCATACCGCATTCAATCGGGGAAATCTACAAAACATACCTCATGACAAAAATGGCTTGCCTAATGTCCAGTGGTTAATGAACAATAATCCTTTTATCATGCAGATTTTGCTGATGAAAGAAAAAAGGTTTCTATTTTTAGTTGTGATGAAATATCATCTAGACCGCTACACTGCTTTACACACCGCTACCTATCGAAGATTAGACGAAGTCCCCTGACAGAAGGTAGTGTAATACTGTATTACTCCACCTTCTATTGTATTAGTGATTTTCTAAGCGCTGCTTAGATGTGGCACAAGGCCAGAAGTATGGAGCACCCAGTGAGGATCGAACTCACTACTCAGGCATAATTGTTCTAGCTTGCTAACCATTACACCACGTCGAGGTGCCCCTTTATAGTTCAATTTTTCACTCATTTAATTGCATTGAGACAAAGCAAGTCAGATGACGGAAAAAAAATATTTACACGTACAACACAGTTCGTACATTTTTTTAACGAGAAATACAAAATTCAACGAATTGGCGCCACGTATGTCATGTGCTATGTCGTAAAGTGGGACAGAGTAGCAGTCGTAAAACGCCTTGAAATATAAGTGATGCCATAAAGGATCTGTGTTTTTTTTTTTTTTAAAAAAAAAAAAGCATTTATTAGATATGTTCTTGGGAAGTCGATTTTTCTTTTCGTTTTGAAATTAGACACAAGAAGCGTTATGTCTTTATCAACGCATTCTGATTGCCTGCTCACATGTGTGCTGATAGAAGTTCGGTTATTTTGTGAGTTTCCAGTTCCACCTATAACTTTCATACTTAATAAAACCTATGAAAGTGACTTAATTGGTTAACTATTTACTGGAGTACCTGTGTAACGGGTAAGGCGCGTTATTATTTTTTATTATTGTATTTTTCTTTTGAACTTTTTGTGCCTGGGGTTACTGCCGGGTGACCCTAAGTATCCATTATGTAACGACGTTCAGGTGGGTCAGAGAATGAGAATTATAAAATCTTTTGAAATTTCTCGACGGTTGATTTTTTTCAAATATTTAAAGTTTAAAAAAAAAAAACATACTGCATTTTTTTTCTGTTCTTCGCAACATTCAGATTGCATTTTAAAATATTTAATTTATGATTTTTATTTTATCTCTTTAGAAACTATGACTGGCCGTCTCAGGCCATAGAATCAAATTCACCACAATGCTATTTAACATTGTTTTTACTTTATTTATTTAAAATACAAATTAAGTTGGTCTTTTTAATTTAATTAAAAGGTGAAATATTCTTTCGCTAATCTATCTTCAAGTATTTGTTACAAGTATTGGGTAATTTGCTTTTTAAGCCCCGTGCTAAGTATCTAAAAATATCCGTAATAGTTACATCTCGGGAAATTTTTATTAGATACTTAAAAAGCAAATTACCCCAAGTATTTTTTCTGAGATATATATATATATATATATATATATATATATATATATATATATATTTTTTAAACAGTATTTTTTCAAATAGAATGAGAAATTAAATATTTGGATTAAACGAATTAAAGAGAAACAGGCTAGGGAGATAACTCGAATGGAATTTGTAGTCTTTGGACGTGTGTGTATGTATCTTTTATTGTATAACTGGCAAAAACATAGCTGGAAGATTTGTTTTTAAAAAGCTCTTTTAAAATTCAATTAAAAAAATCTTAAGTTTATATTTTCTGAAACATCTTGACCTACGAATAATAATGTGCAATAAAAATTTATTTGGCGCGACTTTTCGAAAACCAATCTTGTTCAAAAAGTGTTAAGTGAAGTGTATTTTCTAGTTTATAAAAAATTTTTTTTTTTTTAAAGTTTGAATGTTCATTTTATATGAACAGTAATAATCCAGAAAATGCAACCCCATTTTTTCATCCCCCCCATTTTTCATCCCCCATTTTCATTCCCCCATATCGTGTGCATAATTTAAAGCGGTGTTCGCGAAATCTTTTTTGATAGTTAACTTTTTATAAAGATCCTTTGATGTTATTTCAGTAAAATTAAAAAAGAATTACATTGTAATTACATCGTAATCAGACGTGAACATGCTGTGAAAATTCAATAAAGCTAAAAAATTTATTTTTTTCCAAAGTTGTGCTTTTATTTAATATTTGTGTTTTTGGTAAAAGTTGGTTTTATTTCCCGAGCACTAAAAATCCCTTAAAATTTTCCAAAATCGTCATAATTCTATGCAAATTTACTTGCTGAACTCGAATTAACAATTAAATTATGAAGAAACCTTACCGTTTTGGAGTTATTGACAAAAAAAATCGGACTTCTTGTCGATCTTTCGTCAGCCATTACCGGCTTATTTAGAAGTAATTCACGGCGGAGTCATAAAATTTGGACCTATTTACTTCTTTTACAGACTTTCATTGCAGAAAATCACTACGCACTACTGTAAAGAAATGTAATTTTTTTTTTGGTAAGTGTAGTTTTAAATAATACAACAGAACCTTTTTTTCCGTTTAGCAATGACAAATTAAGAGAACAAAAATAAAGCATTTTTTATATTCTAAAATTGAAAATAAAAAAAAATTAATGCACAAACTTGGTAAATTATTTAATGTTTTTTTATTTTTAATTAGTCCCCTTTTCTACACAGAAAGAAAACCCCACCCCTAACCTTAACTCCTAACCCTAAAGAACTTTAGGCAATGACAAATTAAGAGAACAAATTAAGTAATAAAAATAAAGCATTTTTTATATTTTAAAATAGAAAATTTTTAAAAATTAATGCACAAACTTGGTAAATTATTTAATGTTTTTTATTTGTTCATGCATTTATTTTTGTTAGGGTTAGGTGTTAAGGTTAGGAGTGGGGTTTTCTGTGTAGAAAAGGGGACAAATTAAAAACAAATGAAATTTTAATAATACAATCAACTGTTCTACTTTACCAAGTTTGTGCATTAATTTTTGTTTTATTTTCAATTTTACAATATAAAAAATGCTTTATTTTATTTAATTTGTTCTTTTAATTTAATTTGTCATTGCTATTCAAAACAGAAAAAAGGTTCTGTTGTATTATTTAATTTGTTTTTGTTATAAATAAAACTACACATACCCAAAAAAAAAAAAATTACATTTCTTTACGGTAGTGATTTTCTGCAATGAAAGTCTGTAAAAGAAGTAAATAGGTCCAAATTTTATGACTCCGCTGTAAAGTGTGCTGCAGTGAATTACTTCTAAATAAGCCGGTAATGGCTGACGAAAGACTGACAAGAAGTCCGTTTTTTTTTTTTTTTTTTTTTTTCTTGTCGATAACTCCAAAACGGTAAGGCTTCTTCATAATTTAATTGTTAATTCAAGTTCAGCAAGTACATTTGCACGGAATTATGACGATTTTGGAAAGATTTTAAGGGATATTAGCGCTCGGGGAAACAAAACTAACATTTACCGTGTTTTTTTAATTAAAAAAAAACACATTAATAAATTGAAAAGTGTAGTTTTTTTTTTTTTTCTTTTTTTTTTTTTGTCCATTTTGAAAGGAAATAATTAATCATTATTTTCCCCCTGAAATGGAGAGATAAAAAAAAAACTACACTAATAAATTAAATTTATTTAAAAAAAAAAAAAAAAATTTCAATGAAATTTTGAAATTAATTTTGTTGCTGTTCATCACAAGGGTTTCTTTTGTTAAATAAGGACATGTTTGAAAAATGTAAAGTAAACTGTAAAGTCTTGCCATGTTCGAGTGTGAACCTTCTTTAAAAGACTTTTTTTTATTTTTTCAAAGTGGATCAATAGATGTCTAAACAGATGGAAAATCAACCAAAGCTAGAGTTGATAAATTTTGTGCATTCTCTGATGCTGCAGTCACTGTACCGAGAGACGAAATACATTTGTCATTTACAATACTAACTGGCAACCTTATATGGCTAAAAATTGATCCTTGAAACATGGAAGACAAACATACCTTCCTTCTCCACGTGGTCAAGCAGTGACTACTACATTTGGATACATGTAGATATATACACATTTATTTCCTCCCAGATTCCTTCTATCTCTCTTATGTTCCAGAACTTTTACACTTGACCTCTTGAAACTTCAACTTTCACTTTATTCTGTCTTATTATATTGTGTATATTAAAACATTTTTCATTTATCAACACTGCATTTTCTTTTAATCATTACAAGATCAATATATGCTCAAATTAATTATATTGATAACTTTGTTGCGGGTGCTGACTCTCTCAGGAGTAGTTATAGGTCTGATTGATTTATGGGGTGCAGAAAGTGTTTGGTTCTTGTGGCTAATTCGTATAAGATAATGGCAGTGATTACTAATTATTTCAGGTTCTGTCGGGAATAAAGCATTCTTAAACCAACATACAACACAATGATGAAGATAAAAATTTGCTTATCAACCAATAATTTCCTTGGATATTTTATACATCATGTGGTGAATATAATAAAACCTTTGAAAAGAAGGTTAAATTCATATATACAGATTTAAAAGAGAAAAGATAACATGCACACATATAGGTGTGTTTAATAAAATTCTTTGAAAGGGGAAAGTTACATATGCACATTTAGGTATGCTTTAATAAACCTCTGAAAATTTAAAGGTACAAAGACACGTTGAGGTGTGTTTAATAAAATCCATGAAAATGGAAAAGTTCCAAGACAGAACATACATTGAAGTGTGTTTAATAAAACCCCTTGAAAAGGGAAAAGTTTGTACCTTGGTTTCATTGTAGAAGTGGGAAATGTGCTAGTGGATTAGTAAATCAGTTGAGTTTCAACACGGAATCCATTCACCAACTGTGCTTGTTTGCTTTATGGTCTGTATTTATAGCTTCCCTTAAGCAGGTGCTGGCTCACAAAAAGTCCCTCAAAAATCAGAGGGAAACACTGTCAGTAGTCAATTAATAATTTGTATTATAATTTTGAATGTTTTCAATGTTACTGGAAGTGCCACTCAGAGCCTATGCATAAATAACTGATTTTAGTCATTCAACTCTTGACTCTTGAGATGGAAACTTCCAGTCCCTAGTTACTAACACAGTCTTTAACTGACAATGAAACCTCTTCACCATACCATTTGCACATGGATGGTATGCAGTCGTTTTGATATAGTGTATACATCGAACTCTTGTGAAATCTTTAAATAAATTAGGCTGAAACCGAGGACCATGATCTGTCATGATCATGGTTCACACACCAAATTGTGAAATCCATCTGTCAAGAAATATGGCAATAACCTTTCCTGTACTGGTATCGTTGATTAGATATGCTGCCAGCCAACATGTGTAACAATCAAAAGCAATGAGGATATATTCATAACCTCTTGATTGCAAAAGAGACCCAACCAAGTCGATATGAATGTTGGTGAAGCATGCATCTGGTATACTAAAAACTACCATGGGGAAACCTAGTGTGTCTACCAATTTCATGACGCTGGCAGAATAAACAACTTTTATAGCCCAGTCCCGTATGTCAGTCATAATACTGGGCTGCACAAATTGCTGTGTGATCAACTTAACTGTTGCTCTTATACGTGGATGTGACATACCATGAAAGTGCTGAAAAATAGCTTTGCATAAAGTTGGAGGAACTTGGATTTTTCAGACTAGTGTCACACAAAATCATTTTGTCACTAAAAGGTAACTTAGTCAACTGAAGTGATGTCTCTTGCATTGCTTAATCTATTGTTTTATCTAATTTTTGTTCCTTGGCAATTGTCTTGAAATTGAAAACAGCTTTGTCTAAATAGTGACGTGATGTTCTAAACAGTGTTTGCAACAGTGTTATCCTGTTCTTGAATATGTTCAATTGTCCAGGTGAATTGTGAAATAAAATCAAGTTGACGTAATTCCCTTGGTGAGTATTTGTTCAAAGTTGAACTTAAT